CAAAAAGAGGAACATGGGATGTACTCACTCATATTTGGTTTCTAGCCATAAACAAAGGACATTGAGCCTATAATTAGTGATCCTAGAGAAGCTAAATAAGGAGAACCCAAAGAAAAACATATAGGCATCCTCCGGAATATTAACCTTCATCAGGCGATGAAAGGAGACAGAGACAGAGACCCACATTGGAGCACCGGACAGAAATCTCAAGGTCCAAATCAGGAGCAGAAGGAGAGAGCACGAGCAAGGAACTCAGGACCGCGAGGGGTGCACCCACACACTGAGACAATGGGGATGGTCTATCGGGAACTCACCAAGGCCAGCTGGCCTGGATCTGAAAAAGCCTGGGATAAACTGATAAATTTTATCACATTGTAGCTTTTTTGAATACCATTAATGTTTATGGACAGGCTTTTTGTGGACATATTATGAATCCTTGTATTGGCTAGTTTTATGTCAACTTGATACTAGCTAGAGTAATCAGAGGAAAAAGCATCAATTGGGCAAATATCTACATAAGATCCAGCTGCAAAGCATTTTGTCAATAAGTGACCAATTGGGGAGGACCCAATCCATTTTGGGTGGTGCCATCCCTGGGAAGGGTGGTCCTGAATTATATGAGTAAGCAGGCTGAACAAGCCAGAATGAGTAAGCCAGTAAATAGCACCTATCCATGGCTTCTTCTTCAGCTCCTGTGTCCTGTTTGAGTTCCTGTCCTGTCTTCCTCTGGTAACGGACTGTGATGTAGAAGTGTAAAACAAACCCTTTACTCCCCAACTTCCTTGATCATGGTGTTTCATCACAGTAATAGTAACCATGACAACCCACTCTGATATATATCTAAGAGTGAGTGCTGGGCCACCTGGTAACTCCATGTTTAATATCCTGAGGAATTACCAAATGGTTTTCTAAAATGGCTTCACCATTTTATCGCCCATTCATAATGTAGAGTGCCTCCAAATTCTCTTCCTCTTCACCAACACTTGTTACTGTCTTTATTGGATTTTGTTCAGTCTCATTGTGTAGACCCTGCCTAGCACTTGTTGCTCTGACCTTGAATTCAGAGACCAGTGTGCCTCTGCTTCTGAGTGCTAGGATTAAAGGCATGGGCCATCATGCGCAAACTTTTATTGTCTTTTAAAACAGAATTATCCTACGTGGTATAATATTCAAGCTTTTGTACTGTTTCTTTTTGTGAGATAGTTTTACTATGTAGCCCAGGCTGGTCTGGAACTTCATATATAACCCAAGCATCCCTCAAACTTGCTGTGTTCTTGACTGAAATTACCAAGGGTTAGAATTGGCTAATGGCCAAAACACTATTTGGCCAATAGCTTAGGTGTATTGCTAGCTAGTGCCTACATCTTAAATTAACCCATTTCTATTAATCTGTGTATCACCACGAGGCTGTGGCCTATTGGTAAGGTTCTTGTGTCTTTCTCATTCGGCAGCTACAAGGCACCTGCACGACTCTGCCTTCTTTCTCCCTGCACTCAGTTTAGTTTTCCTGCCCAGCTCTATTCTGCCCTGTCATAGGCCAAAGCAGCTTCTCTTTAACCAATGGTAATAAAATATATTCACAACATACAAAGGAAAATCCCACCTCACCTTATAAATTTCAAGATTAAAAATTCTGTAAAAGTCAGGAATAGAGAGATGGCTCAGCAGTTAAGAGAACTCACTGCTCTTGCAGAGGACCTGAATTTGGTTCCGAGCAGGGTTGGGAGCTACCTTGACTGTAGCTTCAAGGCACCCAACCAACATCATCTTTCACCCCTTGGAAGTTGCTTTTGAGATTAAAAGAAGAGAGAGGTTTAATTTGTATGTGTCCGTGGAGAGCATATGCAAACATGTATGCATGCACACTTTCACAGAAGGCAGAAGAAGGCACGGGGTGTCTTCTGTCACTCTCCACCTAGTCCTTTGAACCTAGGGCCTATGCTGTCTCAGCTAGCCTGAAAGTCAGCCAGTGCTAGCCATCCTCCTGTCTGCTCCATGATTGGAGCTGGGTTAGACATTTGGTGGACTCCGGGCTTGTTACATGAGTGCTGGGATCTAAACTCAGGTCCTTATGACCACACAGTGACCTTTCTTACCTGATAAGCCATCTCTGCAGCTCCAAGTGTGACCACCTAAATACTATGACTTCTGAGGACAGAACAGAATGTTTCCCCATGGATTCTGGTTATAATTTTTTCAATAATCTTCTTTTTATTCTTAAAGACTTATACTGTTGCAAAATTAATCAAATATTTAAAAAGCAGTATAGTTAATATTTAAAGAGCAGTATCTTTTAGTTTTTGTTTTTTCAAGGCAGGGTTTTTCTGTGTAGCTTTAGTGAAGTGTGAAGACCAGGCTGGCCCAGAACTCAGAGATCCGCCTACCTCTTCCTCTTGAGTGATGGGATTAAAGGTGTGCCCCACCATTGTTTGGCTGATTTAACATACTTTTTTATTGCAATTTTTTTGTTTGTTTGTTTTGTTTTTTGAAGCGGGATTTCTCAGTGTAGCTTTGGGGCCTGTCCTGGAAGTAGCTATTGTAGACCAGGCTGACCTCAAACTCACAGAGATCTGCCTGCCTCTGCCTCCAGAGTGCTGGGATTAAAGGCGTGCACCACCATAACCTGTCTTTATTGCAATTTCTAAGCAAGTTGAATTCTCTTTATTTTTGAGATTTATTGTGTTTTTATATGGTATACGTGTCTGTGTATGTCTGTGTCAATGTATGTCAATAAGTACAGATGCCCTTGGAAGCAGGAAGACAGTGTTAGATCCTCTGGAGCAAGAGTTGCTACAGGTGGTTTCAAGCTACTTGATGTGGGTGTTAGGAACTGAACTCAGGTTCTCTGCCAGATCAGCAAATGCTCTCACCCAACCTCTGAGCCATTTCCCCAGCCCTTATGAGAAATCAAAAGTTTAAAAACGTGTATCTTTGAGACAGGGTCTCACCCTGTAGTCCTGGCCGGCCTGGAACTCACTATGTAGACCAGGCTAGCCTCAAATTCAGGAGAGAGATCTGTCTGCCTTCCAAGTGCACCACCACACGAGGTCATTAAAGTTAGCAATTGTCCAATATCAAAAACCACATAAATCCTAACCAAGAGCTGGGCTTGGTGTCCTATGTCTTTATACCCAGCAGTTTGAGTTCAAGGCCAGGCTGGTCTACATAAACAGCTTCAGGTTAGCAAGAACAACCTAGGGAGAATCTGTTCAAAATAACTAATAAAAACAAACAAACAAACAAGAGTAACACTAACCAACAAAGACACATGGCTATTTCTGGGTGACATTTATAAAGCAAGAAGTACCTTCTGTCTCGAGCAGAAGACTCCCTCTTGACTTCTGCTTCTGCCTGTCTGGCCAGCAAGGCAGCAGCTTTGGCAGCCTCTACTTCCTTTGTCTTTGCAAAACGAGCAGCTCTCTCTGCACGATCCTTTGAAGGAAACACCATTAGACACATTACTTCTCTCTGTCAGAGCCTACATGTTTATAACGCAAGGGATAAACACAATACATGAAATTCCTTAGGTTCACGTGCAGACTTTACACATTTAAGATCTGAGGTTTTTGTTTGTTTGTTTTCTTCATTTAGGCAAGTGTCAAGAATCCGAGTTGTTTGGAAAAAAAAAAAAAAAAAAGAACTGCCTTCATAGCCAGGAACAAAATATGACGCAAAGGTGATGTTTAATGAGTGTTTGTTGAATGGTCAGAGGAATAAACAGTATTTAGATATGTATACAATAGGTTAATTTAAAAAGCAGCTGCCAAGCTTGTTATGGCCCGATGGTTCAGCACACTGACAGTTCTTCCAGAGGACGCAGGGTCCCAGCATCCACATGGCAGCTAACAAACCTCTGTAACTCCAGTCCCAGGGGACCCAACACCCTCTCCTGGCCCCTATGAGCACTGCATGCATATGGTGTACATACATATACATATGCAAAACACTTATACACAATAAAAAGAAATCTAAAAAAAGAAAAGCAACTGCTATAAAACCATCGTCACCCTTTAGTTATGCCTAAATATTCTGAAAGTCTCTCTCTCTCAAAATTAATGCTTTTATACAGACTACAATTTACAAATTCTTTGTTTTTCTTTGGATTTATTTCTTTATTTATTTATTTATTTATTTATTTATTTTGGACAGGGTTTCAGTGTTAGGCCCTGACTGGCCTGTGACTCTCTTCATAGACCAGACTGGCCTTGCATTCACAGAGCTCCATCTCCATGTTTCCTGAATGCCAGGGTTAAAGGCTTGCATCACCATGCCCAGCTAGAGAATCTTTAAAAGCTGTGCCTTCTTAGAAAATTCTTAATAACTGGGAGAGGGTGGGGTAGCACATGCTTTTAACCTCCGCACTTGGCAGGTCTCTGTGAGTTTGAGGCCAGCCTGGTCTACACATCATGTTCCAGGGCAGCCAGGGTTATAATGTGAGATTCTGTCTCAAAGAATAAAATAACATGAAGAAAATAACTTTAAAATGGTTTTGGGTGCCAGAAAAATGGCTCAGTCGTTAAGAGCACTTGCTGCTCTTCCAAAGGACCCGAGTTCAGCTCCTAATACTCATGTAAGGGAGCTCACAACCATCTGTAGCTCCAGGTCCAGGGGATTTGACACCTCTGGTCTCTGAGAATATCTACACTCTCATGTACATGTCCACATCAGATACACACACCTACATATAATGAAACATATAAATACATCAGAAACAAATAAAGAACAATAAAACTACCCCAAAGAAAACAAACAACCCTATCTTGGGCTGTTGTGATGGATTTAAGGGTAAAATAAAAGCGTGGGCCTGGTGACCTGAGATTGAGCCCCAGAAACCATAGAAAGGTTGATGGCGAGAACTGACTCCACACTGTTGTCCTCTGACATCCAAATATGTCACACGTGCATGCACTATTTTGATGGGGTTGGGGGCAGAGCTGACTCAGTGGTTTAGAGGTTTAGAGCACTTGCCAGTCTTGTATAGGATTCTTGTACATGTTCAGTTCTCAGCACCAACATGGTGACTTAACAACCATCCCAGAAGATCCGACACCCTCTTCTGCCTGTGAGGGCACCAGGCACATAACTGGCACACATACATTCATGCAGGCGAAACACTCATACATGGGAAATAAATGAACAAGACATTCATATATGGGAAATATATCTTAAGAAACAATTTTTTGGCTCCAAAACCACAGAGAAAACCTGTCTCAAAAAAACGAACAAACAAACAAACAAAAAAGAAACAATTTTTTTTGAGGAGTAGTCATGTGGGTGGGGGGAGAAAAAACCTGAAAATTAAAATAATTATGTATCATTTTTTCTTAACTATTTCAATTCAATACAGAATTCCTTGAAGACAGAAGCAAAGATTGATATTCTTTCAGTTACTAAATGTGCTATTGTGCGCACTGTGTGGTAGGAACTGAAAAAAATCAGCCTGCATAGAGAAACAATATTACAAACGTCAGAAGATCAAGCGTTTCAAATAAAGGTAGACACCAGTGGCTCACTTCTCTGATCCCAGCACTTAGCTGGTTCAGTTCAGAGAGTTCAGGGATTCTACTGGCTGCACAGAAAGGCGCAGTCTCACCATGAATGAAGGAGCACACAGCGAAGCTCACCAGTGCTATCTGCTGCTTGATGCGCTCTCGAGCCGCTCTGTCTTCTGCCTTTTCTCTGCTTCTTTCTTCTAACATTCGTTTTGCTAATTCCTCTTCTTGTTTCCTCTTATAATCCAACATTTCCTTTCCAGTTTTTCTCCTTTCAATTTCCTTCTTAATCTCTCTCTGAATCAAAGAAAAGTGTGATGAACCCAAACCATAATCCAATCTTCTGTCCCAGACAATATTCTGATATAAGAAAAACTGATTATAAAATATAGTTAAAAGAATAGAATTTCAGCCTAGTGGTGGTGGAGTACACCTTTAACCCCAGATCTCAGGAGGTAGAGACAGGTGGATCTCTGTGAGTTCAAAACCAACCTAGATTACAGAGTGAGTTCTACAATACGCTCTAAAGCTCAGAGAAACCCTATCTCAAAAACCACTACAAACCAAACCAAAGAAAATAAAACTTCAGAGAATATCTCCTGGTGAGATGGGTCAGTGAGTACAAGTGCCTGGCGCCAAAGTTTACACTATGGACACACATAATGAAAAGAGAAAATGGACTGCTGCAAGTTTTCCACTGATCTCCACGTACGTGCCTATACACGTGTGTGTGCATGTACACACAAAATAAAGTAATTTTTTAAAAAGAGCTGAAGAAGTCAGGTGGTGGTGGCATAAGCCTTTATTCCCAGCATTCGGGAGACAGAGACAGGCAGATCTTTTTGAGTTTAAGACCAGCCTGGTTTACAGAGTGAGTTCCCTGACAGCCAGAGTACAACAGAGAAACCCTGTCTTGAAAGAAAAATAAATAAATAAAATAAAAATGGAGCTAAAAAGATGACTCAGGCCCAGGCAGTGGTGGCGCACACTTTTAATCCCAGCACTCGAAGTCAGAGGTAGGTGGATCTCTGTGAGTTTGAGGTCAGCCTGGCCTACAAGAGCTAGTTCCAGGACAGGATCTAAAGCTACAGAGACACCCTACCTTGAAAAACCAAAGAGAGAGAGAGAGAGAGGGAAAGAGAGGGAGAGAGATAGAGAGAGATGACTCAGTTATTAAGCTCACTGGTTGTTCTTCCTAAAGACTTAGATAAGATTTCCAGCAACCATATGACAGATAACAACTGTTCAGTTACAGTGGACCCGATGTCCTCTTCTGGCTTCCACAAGCACCTGGCATGCAAGTGGTGTGAAAAATGCATGCAGGTAAAACACCGATAATATAAAATAATTTAAAAAATACTTTTTTTGGCAGCATAATTAATGATCAAATGTCTATCAACCTGTAAACTTTTGTCAGTGGCTCTGTTAAGAGTATCGTGTCCTCAATGTAATCTGTATCCAAGCAGAAGTACAAGCCTTTAGATTCTACAGCAAATGAGCTGCCCTCCAAGGACAACATGGCAATCAATTATTTGTCTTGAAAACAATGATAATCTAAATGAGACCCAAAAGAGATGGGCACAATTACTGTGAGAAAGATGATGAGTAAACTAGAATGTAACATTAGATAAAAAACTGAGGAGAATGTCTACAAATTTGATTTTCCTCAAATCTAGCAATTTTAGATCAACTTCCTTTAGATACTTAATTTGAAAAGATCCATCCACAGAGTGAAAAAAAAAAGATTATTCAATTGTTGCTGGTAATTTATAAAAAAAGAAAATAAACAGATAGCCATGGTAACTCCTTGCAACCCTATGATTTCTCGGCCAGTATAGATTGCATAGCAATCATGACAAACAGAGAAGCAAACAATAACCAAGACCCTAAAATGTATATAGATAGTACAAACTGAGTGCAGAGAACAGATCATTTCCTCCACCACAATACAACACTGAGCTCTAAGGATATCACTCTGAGTTTGCTAAATTGGACAACAAATCAAAAATTCCTTCAAGTAACAAAGTAACAGAATGAACCAATGCTAAGAGTGAGCTCTACCTGTTCTTCTTCCTTCCTTTTCTCTTCTCTCCTTTCTTCAAGCTTTTTTGTTAGTCTGTTTAAAAAAAAAAAAAAAACACCAAGATAGATTCCATTATTCAAAACATAACTAAGAATTTTACTGGGGGAATGGAGAGGGCAGCAGACGTGGTGGTGAATACCTTTAACATCAGCATTTAGGAAGCAGAGGCTAACTAGGGGCTACATAATCAGACTGTCCCAAAGTTTTATTTTGCTAAAACAAAGCAGAATATAGAAACCTAAACATAGCCCCCTGAAAATACAACAGTTTATCTGCCCACCTCCATGAACCCACTGGTGTCTAATAGAAGTCCATCATTTACTATTAGAGTCCTCACTTTTTGATGATTCTAATGCTTGGAAAATATATTAAGATGAGCTGGAGAAAAAGCTTAGCAGTTAACAGTTTATATTGTTCCTGCATTGAACCCAAGTTCAATTCCCATAGCCCACTTCTTGAATCTCACAACTGCCTGTATTTATAGCTGCAAGTAACCAAGAAGACACCAATTTCTTTGAAGAAACTTTATTTATGTTATTATTACTGTTTTGCAGAGCTTAATATTTAACCCAGGACCTCATGTCGGCTAAGTAGTCTAACACTGACTCTAGTTTCCTCTAAGAAGTATTTTGTTTTGTTGTGTTTTTGAGACAGGATTTTTCTGTGTAGCCATCCTGGCTGTCCTGGAACTCATTCTGCAGACAACGCTGGCCTCAAACTCAAGAGATTCTCCTGTCTCTGCCTCCTGAGTGCTGGAATTAAAGAAATACTTAAAGGGGCAAATTTAATTTAAATTAATTAAATTAATTTCCTTTAAAGAAAAATTTAAAAAGCATTTTTAATTTTTTACCTAATATTAAAAGGTTTTAGGCTAGTATTAGAAATATTAGTCATTAATTCATAATTTTTAATAAAAGCATAACAAACACATTTCATAATTACCACATTTTTATAAACCCTAACCTAGAAAGTATAATGAATCAGAGATGTTTACTATTAGTCCAACCAATAAAAAATGACGTTTAGTAGTTGTGCAGAACCCCATCTTAATACATATGCATATTATGACATAAGTTTTTGTTCATCTGGAGCTTATTATTATTCTGGCATAAAGGGATATAAGCGAAAATGACAGAAAGACATACATGCATATACCAAAAGGGGCTCTTAGAACGAAATGCTCAGGTCTATAGTTGACTGACAACTTCAATGATACAGAAAACCTGTACCCTAATTTTAATTTTCATGGAATAGTTGGGTTATTGAGGCAATCAAAAACTTAGACCTGCAATTCTGAGTCTTCATTTGCATTATATTTAGGTTTTATAGAAGTTAACAAAGTAACTAGAAACTGTAATTTTTTTTACACAAAATGTTATCTACAAAAGTAAAAGCAAACCTTTCCACTTTGACAGTGAGATCCTCTGCTGGTCTCTGGTTTGAACATCCAGGACGTTCCTGGGAGGGACTGTCATGACCTGAGCATTCTCCTCCTTAAATATTAAAATAAAACAAAATAAGAATACTACAAATAATACAAGTTGTAAAAGATATAAACCATTTGTTAACCTTTTCTCTTGAATAGTAGTACAACATAAATGTACCACTGTGCCTAATGGAATGCCAAACAAGCACTCCACCAGCTAAGCTAAGCTGTCATGTTTGGCTGGGTTTATCAGGGTGTAATTCCATTTGAAAGGCTTGCTATTATCTGTCTGGGATGCTACAGTGAGACTAAACCATGTCCTTAAATATGAAGTAAGGAATACTCTTCCTGTACCTGTTGCAGTATTTGACTTTGTGTCAGAAGCCGCTGGTGTCTCACAAAGGTCTGTATTTCTGGACTCAGTATTTTCACACACATCATTAGGTTCAAATGAGGCAGAAGGGGTAGATACTGAACTTTCTGACTGGTTGTCATTTGTCACTGATGTTTCGCCTTTTGATGAGTGCATCTCGGGAGAAAACATATTGCAACGTAACATGACACTCTGTAGCCATTTAATGGTAGATTAGTTATCAACACACACACAAGTAGAAATACTAAAATCTCAGTAAGACAAATTGGAAATAAAGAGTCCAAAACAAAACAAAAAACATATTATGGCATGAACATAGGGGCACATCAGCCTTTAATCCCAGGCAGAGAAAAGTGGAAGGTTCAAGGCCAGTCTGAACTAAATAGCAAGTTCCAGGACAGCCAGAGCTATCCAGAGACCCTTCCTCAAAACAAGAACAAAATCACATTATGGAATTCAATAATAAGTTGGCCAGAGCATAATTTTCCTTATTTGGTACTGGGGGTGAGCTGTATCTCCAGCCCATAAAAGGTTTTAAAGCAGAGTGATCATCTGGCCAGGGGACGGGACTCAAGACATTTCCAAAGGCAAGGCGGATGAAGATGGGTAGTACCACCCTCAGGATAAGCTCACTTCTCTCAAGGGTCCCAAATCATTGCAGGTGTTGGCGAGACTGTTTCCTCTGACAGATGGGTCACTGGTTGGGATAATCTTTCTTTGTCAAGCTATAGGATTCAGAGGGCAGTTCTGTGTTATCTTCAGAGGGTATCCATTGTTTAAAATTGAGCTACCCCAGGGGCCTGCGATCACAGAACATACACAGGTTGGGAAGCTGCCACAGTCCCTAAAACTCCAAACAGACAGCTGTGGGCACAGGAGGGAAGGACCCCATGGGCTGAGGAGTGCAGGTGGTAGGAAACTGGCTTGGACTACTAGAAAATGTGTTAAGAGACATCCCTGCACACCCAGTGGCCAGAAACAGAGTTCATCAACTGAGAACTAACCTGAAGCTTAAGAGCTCTGAACTTAAGGACAGTGAGTGAATCAAATCCTAGACTCACTCCTCTTTACCTTCACTGCTGTAGTCAGTCTGAGAAGTAAGGTTCTAATGGTGTAACTGATACTCACATTGGCATCCCTCTAGAAGGGTGACTAAAACTCAAAGCCATACCAATCTCAGTGCTGTGGCTGCTTTCTACACTCAAATAATTAAATTAAAAAAAAAAAAAACAGCCTTGTACCACAAAGTTCCAGAAAAACATGAACAATCCAAACCTTGAAGCAGCAGACAGCAAGAAATAAGGATACCATTAATGGCCAGGCACAGTAGTACCCTTAATCCCATCACCCAGGAGGCAGAAGGGAGCAGATCTCTGAGTTTGAGGCCAGCATGATCTAGAAAGTTAGTTCCTGGACAGCCATAGCTACATAGATAAACCCTGTCTTGAAAAAACAAAAACAAATAAAAACAAACAAACAAAACCCCAAAACAAAACAAAAACCCCCACCAAAAACAAAACAAAAACACCAAAAAAAAAAAAAAATCAAAAACAAAAAACCCAAGTAACATTGAGAGAACCTTAGTCAACTAATGCAACAGTGCAACAGAAAGAGTAAGATGACCCAAATAAGTAATATTAAAAGGGGAGGTTACTCTACTCTAGAGTTCAATGAAATACAGAAAGTAATTAAAAATTTAGTTAAAAAAAAAACTGGAAAATTTCAGGGCTGGAGAGATGGCTCATAGGTTAACAGCACTTACTGCTCTTGTAGAGGATTTGGGTCACAACCACCTATAACCTAGTTTCAAGGGATCCAATGCACTCAGACCACTTCTAGCACCTGAGTACATATGGTGCCCATATATATAATCAGTCATACACACACACAAAATTATATATATACTGGAAAATCACCAGGTATGTTGGAGGACGCCTCTGATCCCAGCACTCAGAAGGCAGAGGCAGGAGGAACTCCAACTTTGAAATCAACCTGGTCTATAAAGTGACCAGGGCTATGCAGAGAAATCATTTCCAAAAACCAAAATAAACAAATAAATAAATAAAAATAAAACTGAAGCTCGGGAGGCAGAGGCAGGCGGATCTCTGTGAGTTTGAGACCAGCCTGGTCTACAGAGCTAGTTCCAGGACAGGCTCCAAAGCCACAGAGAAACCCCGTCTCGAAAAACCAAAAAAA